AGCAGCCATCTTTGATATCATCAAAAAAATCAAAGAATCTTATTGAATGACAGTATTTTGAGAATATTTCTACCTGCAGATCTTTTAAATTCATAGAATTCCTACGTGTGGAAACAGGCCCTTCGGACACACGGTCCCTCAAACATCCCACCCAGAACCATCCCCCTATAACCCACCTAATCTACACATCCCTAAACACGATGGGCAATTTAGCATGGCCAATCCACCCAGCCTGCACATCTTTGGACTGTGGGAGGAAACCAGAGCACCCGGAGAAAACCCATGCAGACACGGGGAGAACGTGCAAACTCCACACAGACAGTCGCCTGAGGGTGGAATCGAACCCGGGTTATTGGCACTGTGAGGCAGCAGTGCTAACCACTGAGCACCATGCTGTTCTTCAGTCATCTTGGAAAAGGCATATCTTCATCTATCTCCATGAAGGCATTACATTGATAACGGAAAATCAAATGTTACGTTGAAAACAGCATTTAGAACAGCAAAACTTCTAACAGTTTTCAGGTTTAGTACTATGACAACCATCACCATAATACAGCTTCAACAACAACGTAAATGAACTAAGAGTACAAGGCAACAAAATAATGTCCTACAAAGAGATCAAAATCCTAGTAATGATCATCCAGATCAACAAAATAATCAACAACTTCAAGAGCCTATCAACATTCAGTGAATGCAACATCTGTATTGATCTGTGAGAAAAATTCAAGTTAGCAGATCCATTTGCAAATGTACAGCAAATTGGCAAACGTGGAATTAATAAATTCTTAAGATTTTGAACAGCTTCAGGATTGGACACCAAATCATGTGCTGAACATGTTAGCATATGTCTCTATCATATGGGAAGAACATCTGATCATGTGTTACACAGACAACAGATCAGTGAGAAACAAATTACATGTGACAATCTCCTAACAGCTTTTGATTAATATTTCAATTTGAGAACAAATAGGACATTGGCAGATTATGCTTCAATAGCAGATAGCACCTCCCAGGACAGCCTGTTGATGGCCAAATTAATTATATGTATTTACTATCTAAAACATGCAATGACGGAAACTTACAACAAAAATTCATTTTTGATAGGAATGTTGTAGACCTCTTGGACAAATCAATAACAAATTAATTCATAAGGGTCTAATTCGAGAGTCAGCAGTCCAAATAACAGTGGATAAAAAGTCTAGAAAATTGTTCAAGAAGCATTATACAATAAGTTCCATTCAGTGCAAAACATTTACTACTTAAAGCATAATGGAGCTTTCAACCAGAGGCAGACCTCTCTGTAGAAAAATATATTGTATATGATAATATCAAAGCAAATTCCTAAACAATCAAATGTTACTGTTTCTTGTCACAAGTACAGTTCTAAAACCACATATCAATAAAGACGAACCTTTCCAGTCTTACACCAACAATAGATTCATTGTAGGAAAAAAGGTCATTTCTTGAAAGTGCGCTATTTTCCAAAGAACATACCTAGCTTCAAGCCAAATCATTACCAAGCCAACACACATATATTCATGCCTTCAAACAGAATCTTGAAGAACAAGTCAACACTGAAAAGTAACTTATGGAGAACAACTACCTATTGTTACGACATGGAGATAGATGGTCAAATCAAACCAGCCTCCCTAACTCTGTACTTGCAACACAGTAAAATTAAAACCTTCAAAAACCCTCAAATTTGACCTCAATTGTTCCTAACCAGACTTTTTGAATAACCAGCACCAGACTGACACCAGACACCGGCGTTATAGCTTAAATGTAAGATTTAACAATGTATTAATAATATCGTAGCTTTAACAGAGCAAAATTAAACAATAAGATCATCTAATTAACATCTATGATTTAGACCCAATCTTCTTTGATTCTAGCTCCCCATTCTCACAAAGACAGACAGTAAACAGTCACAGTTAAGAGACAAATCAAGAAAAAAATGTAACTGGCCAGTTCATTTAAGCGCACTTCACGATCTAGAACATCACAAGCATGTGTGATTGCACTTTGCTTGGTTTCCGAAAAACTGATGTATGCAGTTAGTTTCCAGTAGCTTCCAAGGAATATTATTTTAATTGTTATAACTGAAATTCTATTCTCTGAAATTCTAATAAATTGATATTAAGAGGATAACAAGGGAGCAATCAAACGTCCATCCTGTTTGTTCTCTTATTTTTAAAAACAAGCTGCTGCTCACAGTCCAAAGGTGACCTTTAGCTATGAGTTCACATTTCATTGCGTCAAACCAAAGAGAAAAAAAAATGAAGTTAGTTTGAGTTCTAATACTATGGATGAACAATATCACTCTTTTATTAGAGAATTAGCACCATGACCGATCTTGATGCTAGTGGCCGAGAAGAAATATTCTAACTTCCCAATACATTCTTGCAGTTATATCAATGCAAGACCCTTCAGCGAGCACTGCTGATCTAACAGAAGCCAGAGAAAAAAACTCAGCAATTTTATCTCAATTGTTTCAAAACTTTGTCACAGACTTCCCTCACCTATCTACTGATACAGATAAAAGACTTGGGGAAGAGTGGGACATATAAGGAAAAAGTGTATAGTAAAATCTTGTGAAAGTAAATAATCCAGAAAGTTCATATGAATGTTAATAAAATGATTTTTTGGGGTAGAAAGTAGCTTGGGGAGAGGTGTTGTGTAAGGTCTTTAAGACCCTGAAGCAAACTTGGGATTATGTCACAGAGCTGCTCTTCACTTGGCATAAGTAGTAAAGTGTGAGTTAAGGGAGAAGGAGAGAAGAACTTGGAGAGCCAGGTAAAAGCTCAAATCTAGCCTTGTGAATGCTAGAAACATATGCAGAGAGGCATGTTGGGTAGACCGACTAGCATTAGGTGAAAAAGTATACAGAAGAGATTGTCAATAAATTAATAGTAAAATTAGAGCCTGGTATATCTCTGAATATCATGTATTGTAGTATTTCGTCTTAATATTGAATAAACAATGTTATAAAGAACCTCAAGCCTGAAGACAGTTCTTGACTTTGCCTTCACCACAACCAGTCTGTCTTGAACCCAAATGTATGGATATGGGCATAAAACCATGCAAAAGATGGTTTAACAAAATTCTAAACATATTTTTAAAAATTCACCACTGTATGTTGGTTCAGTATCACAAGTAAGTATAGCAACAGCCTCGAAATGCATTGGTTGTAGATGTGCTACTCTGTTCTTCAAAATCACCTTTTGCTCCTTGTTCCCAGTAGATTTATGGGAAATTTGATTTTGTCATTTCATGCAGTTGGCAAGCTTTACAGAGAATCTGTTATTTAGTGCTGGAAGCCCTGCTATTCACAATATATATCAATAATTTGGATGAGGGAACAAAATGTAACATCTCCAAGTTTGCAGATAATACCAAGTTGGGTGGGAGGGTGATGAGGATGCAGAGATCCTTCAGCATGATCTGGACAGGTTGGGCGAGTGGGCAAATCAATGGCAGATGCAGTATAATTTGGATAAATGTGAGGTTATTCACTTTGGAAGAAAAAAAAAAGACAGATTACTACCTGTATGGCTGAAAATTGGGAGAGAGGAATGTGCAGCGAGACCTGGGCATCCTTGTGCACCAGTCGCTGAAGGTAAGCATTCAGGTGCAGCAGGTGGTAAAGAAGGCAAATGGTATGTTGGCCTTCATTGCGAGAGGTTTTGAATACAGGAGCAGGGATGTGTTGTTGCAGTTATACAGGGGCTTGGTGAGGACACACCTAGAATATTGTGTGCAGTTTTGGTCTCCTTTTCTGAGGAAGGATACTCTTGTTCCTGAGGGAGTGCAGCAAAGGTTTATCAGGCTGATCCCGGGGATGGTGGGACTGATGTATGAGGAGAGATCGAATAGGTTAGGATTGTTTTCGCTGGAGTTCAGACAAATGTGGGGGAATCTCATTGAACTTATAAAACTCTAACAGGACTAGACAGGGTAGATGCACAGAGGTTGTTCCGGATAGTGGTTGTGTCCAGAACCAGGGGTCACAGTCTGAGGATTCGGGGTACACCATTTAGGACGGAGATGAGGTGACATTTCTTCACCCAAAGAGTGGTGAGCCTGTGGAATTCATTACCACAGGAAGTAGTTGTTGCCAAAACATTGAATGTATTCAAGAGGCAGCTAGGTATAGCACTTGGGGGCGAATGGGATCAAAGGTTATGGGGAGAAAGCAGGATTAGGCTATTGAGTTGGACAATCAGCCATGATTGTGATGAATCGCGGAGCAGGCTGAAGGGCCGAATGGCCTCTTCCTGCTCCTATCTTCTTTGTTTCTGTTTGATAAGATTAGAGTCAAGAAAGTTAAAAGAAAATCCAAAACAGAATTTGGAAGTAGGTAATGCTATTTTATATTCCCATTTTAATTTTAAAGGAACTTCTACTAATGCTGATCACAATTTCAGATTCTCAGTGGGCAGCCAAATTATTTTAGGAAACTCAAATAATCTAATTTCCAACCATACATGGGAAAAGTGAAATGAGCAAGAAGTCGATGAAACCTTAGTCCCAGGTCCAAGTGCATGCGAATCTGCGTCAGCATCAAAATCATCTGGGAATAATCACACACCACCCTAAACAAATGCAGCTCAGTCCAGCTGCTTGTTACAAATTAGCATTCTTCAATCCTGATGAAAGGACAACAGATTTTGAGATTTAAGTTAACATGAACGAACGACTATTTATTTATCACTACTGTACAAGTTTCTATTGCAGCTATTTAAAAAAAGAATGTGCTGTTGTTATAAATGACATGCCCTGTTGCTGCAGTTCATATTTGAATTCACAACTGCTGGTGTTGCCTCTTCTCAAGTGATTAGTTACCGATGACAACAGCTACAAAGTTTTCTCTCTGATATTGCTGTGCCAAGATTTCTGGACAGCTGGCTGGATCCTTACTTGCCTGCCAAAAAGCAATGAGTTAGCTGAGATAAAGTATAATATTCTTCTTTACAGAGCCCATTGCACGGAAAGAGACTCACCTTTCCTAGATTTTCTTGCTCAAGGATATTTCGATTGTATTGCTCCCTAAATAAAAATTAAATAATTGATGAATTAATAATCATTGTATTGCTTTTGCTCATCATTCATCTGGAATTGCAAACCATTACATAACAATGCTAAAATATAGGCTCAGTACTCAAATAGAATAGCTGAGTATCAGACCTAAATTTCGACAGGACAAATCATTTCCTTTCCTTAAGTTTAGAGAATAATTTTAGTGCTGGTGACTCCTTCAAAGTGTGCAATATAATTTGAATTTTTCATATTTACAGATTTAAAATGCTTCCATATGAAGATGTGAAGCCACATTTTCTTTTAGAGATTGTTTCCTAGAGAATTATCTTTTCAAATAAACAAGCATTTTTACACCGAGAATAGTTCGGTTCTTACAGCCTTATAAGTGGAAAGCAGTGCGTGCTACTCATCTATGCACTTTCACCACAGTGAGAAAATGATGATCACTTATTTTCAAGAACTTTTCTTTCTCCTGCTTTTTGTAGCTCTTCCCTTCTGGTGCACACAACTTATACCCAAATGTCACCTAGTCTTTTAGTAACGCACACTCACATGGCTATTAATTAAAAAAAAAAGTTGTTCACCAACACAGAGACCATCTTTATCCACATTGCACTATTCTTTCACAATGTATTTAATAAAAAGTGATAACATGGAGAATTACTAAGAAAACTGATGTTTTATCACCCTATGGTACAATGTGATAACCTTACGGTAGTAGATTGCCATAAGGAAAATATTTCTAGTGCAAATTAAAACTATTCACATCTATGTAGAACAAGGATAAGATGAGTTTATCTATTTTTCAAGACAGTTGCACAAAACCACAGAGATCTTGCCATAAATTACAATATGCATGTAATACCAATACTTAAATGAACCATCCTTCATTCAAGTTCCAAGTGGATTAGTGCAGCATTTGATAGCTAGCAATTTAAATTTAACAACTCACAGAATCAACATCACAGCATCTATTAATTAATGATTCTCCATGACATTGTTAATGGTGAGTTAATGCAGAAGCTAAGTTGAAGAGCGAGATATATATTTCATTGAGAAATGTTATGGACCAGATCAAACACCTGAAAAATATATTAGAAGAGGATAGTCTGGATCCTAACGTGTTCTTACTTTAAAGGGAAGTGCCAGGCATTGCATTCTGGATGTAATTCGATTGGTCAATCTATGTCTTGAAGCAAAACACACTTTGTTCATACACTACTGTTAAAATATAGCAATAGAAAGAAATTGGAATAACTTAACTTTACTGGAAAACTTAACAGAAAAATAGATTATTTTACTACTAAACAGTAACTGTTCCAATACTGTAATACTCCATAAAGACACCATTGGCAAAGGCAAATTCAGTAAATAGATTGACTCACATGCAATTCTAGCAGCCCAGGAGGAAAAAAATTAAGAGAAAACTCTGAGAAAGAGAGTAGCAGGGAGAGATAGACTGCACCTTTCAAACCTACCTTCAAGATCCCAGCAACTGCCACTGAAAAAACTAAAATGAAAAATCCTGGTTCTGTGGAAGCTTGGCCCCACCCATTCAAGCTGCTTCTATTGTTCCAAAATTTAAAATAAAAACACCTCAAGGCCTCACAAGCTGTTTACTTTATTGGCTTTGGAGCAGACTGCCCAATACCCGGTGGAAGTGATAGCCTAGTGGTATTATCACTAGACTATTAATCCAGAAACTTAACTAATGTTCTGGGAGCCCAGGTTCAAATTCCGCCACGGCCAAATAAAAATCTGGAATTAAGAATCTATTGATGACCATGAAATCATTGTCAATTGTTGGAAAAGTCCATCTGATTCACTAATGTCCTTCAGAGAAGGAAATCTGCCATCCTCATCTAGTCTGGCCTACATGTGACTCCAGACTCACAACAATGTGGTTGACTCTCAACTGCCTTCTGAAATGACCTAGCAAGCCATTCAGCCATACCAATCGCTACAAAGTCTCAAAGAAATGAAACTGGACCATCTGGCACCAAAAACACAACAGCAGAGACAGCCCTGTAGACCTTGCAAAGACCCCTTTACCAACATCTGGGGGCTGGTGCTAAAATTGGGAGAGCTGTCTCACAGACTAGTCAAGCAACAGCCTGACATAGTCATACTCATAGAATCATACCTTACAGACAATGTCCCAGACACCACTACCATCATCCCCAGATATGTCCAACAGAACAGACCCAGGAGAGGTGGAGGCACAGTGATTTACAGTCGGGAGTGAGTTGCCCTGGGAGTTCTCAACATTGTGTCTGGACCCCATGAAATCTTGTGGCTTCAGGTTAAACATGGGCAAGGAAACCTCCTGCTGATTACCATGTACCATCCTCCCTCAGCTGATGAATCAGTACGCTTCCATATTGGACAACACTTAGAGAAAGTACTGAGGATGACAAGGGCACAAAATGTACTCTGGGTGAGGTATTTCAATGTCCACTACCAAGAGGGGCTTGGCAGCAGCACTACTGATAGAGCTGGTCAAGTCCTGAAGGTCAAAGATACTAGATTGGGTCTGCAGCAGATGGTGAGGGAACTAACAAGGGGTAAAAAACATACCGGACTTCATCCTTACAAATTTGCCAGCGGTATTGGTAAGAGCGACCACCGCACAGTCCTTGTGGAGTCGAAGTTCCGCCTTCACATTGAGAATAAACTCCATTGTGTTAAAGTACTATCAGCATGCTAAATGGGGCAGATTTCGAACAGATCCAGCAACTCAAGACTAGGAATCCATGAGGTGCAGTGGGCCATCAACAGCAACAGAACTGTACTCCAGCACAATCTGTAACTTCATAGCCTGGCATATCCTCTGCTCAACCATTACCATCAAGCCAGGTGATCAACCCTGGTTCAATGGAGAGTGCAGGAGGGCATGTCAGGAGCAGCATCAAGCATATCTAAAGATAAGGCGTCAATCTGGTGAAGCCACCAAACAGGACTACTCGCATGCCATACACCATGAGCAGCAAGTGAAAGACAGAGCTAAGCGTTCCCACAACCAACGGATCAAATCTAAGGTCTGCAGTCCTGCTACATCCAGTCATGAATGGTGGTGGATGATTAAACAACTCACTGGAGGAGGCAGTTCCACAAATATGTCCATCCTCAATGGTGGAAGTGTCCAGCACATCAGTGCAAAAGATAATGCTGAAGCTTTCGCAGCAATCTTCAGCTAGAAGTGTTGAGAATGAATGATCTATCTCAGCATCCTCCAGTGGTCCTCAGCAGTCCTCAGCATTACAGATACCAGTCATCAGCCAATTCGATTCACTCCTCATGATATCAAGAAATGGTTGGAGACAACGGATACTGCGTTAATGGTTGGAGACAATGGGCATTAATAACATTCTGGCAACAGTACTGAAGACTTGTGCTCCAGAACGTGCCACACGCCTAGCCAAGCTGTTCCAGTACAGTTACAACACTGACATCTACCCGACAACATGGAAAATTGCCGAGGTATGTCCTGTACATAAAAAACAGGACAAATCCAACCCGGCCAATTACCACCCCAACAATCTATTCTTGATCATCAGCAGAGTAATAGAAGGTGTCATCAACAGTGCTATCAAGCAGCATAGGAAGATGACACGTAGAAAGATGGTCGTGATTGTTGGAGTTCAGTCATCTCAACTCCAGGACATTTCTGCAGAAGTTCCTTAGGGTAGTGTCTTAGGCCCAACTATCTTCAACTCCTTCATCAATGGCCTTCCCTCCATTATAAGGTCAGAATTGGGGATGTTCACCAATGATTGCACAATGTTCAGCACAATTCACGACTTCTCAGATATTAAAGCAGTCCACGTTCAAATACAACAAGATCTGGATAATATCCAGGCTTGGGCTGACGAGTACAAGTAATATTCGCGCCACACAAATGCTAGGCTATGACAATCTAATCACTTGACATTCAATGGTGTTACCATCACTGAATCTCCCACTATCAACATCCTGGGGGTTATCATTGATCAAAAACTCAACTGGACTCACCACATAATTACAGTGGCAAGAAGAACAGCTCAGAGGACGGGAATACTGCAACAAGTAACTAACTTCCTGACTTTCCAAACCCTTCCCACCGTCTACAAGGCACAAGGGCAGCTGGGAAGGTAAGGTTTCGGTAGAAAAAACTTGTCTGATCAGTCAGCATCCTCCAATTCACTGGTGGAAATCGTGAGAGCACCAGCCAGGGGGCAGCCAGGAAGGTAAGGTTTCAATACCAAAAACTTGCCTCGTGAATAGGCGGAGCAAAGGCTGAGCTGGAACAAACGCAGACACAGGGACTGCTGGGTAAGTGAACTATTATATTCGGGCAGTGGCTAAACCCGAAACATTACACATGTAGTGTCTCCCACCCATCTTCCTCCTCTAACCAAAACAAAGACTCTGTGTGGAGGGTTGGTAAGGTGAGCTTTTTTTTTTCCTTTATCTCTTGGCAGTCTAGAGCAGAGGGGATGGAAGCTAGGGCAGTTGCATGGTCCTCTTGTAGGATGTGGGAGGTAAGGGTCACCACTAGTGTCCCTGCTGACTTCACCTGCAAGAAGTGCATCCAAATTCCAGCTCCCCACAAGCAACATTAGGGAACTGGAGCTGGAGCCGGATGAACTCCGGATCATTCGGGAGGCTGAGGGGGTGATAGAGAGGAGTTGTAGGGAGGTAGTCACACCCAAGTTACAGGATAAAAAGGTAGCTGGGGTGACCATCAGGAGAAAGAAAGGGAATAGGCAGACAGCGCAGGGATCCCCTGTGGCTGTTCCCCTCAATAATAAGTATACTGCTTTGGATACAGTTGTGGGGACGACCTACCGGGGAAAGCCAAAGCGGCCAGGTCTCTGGCACTGAGCCTGGCCCTGTGGCTCAGAAGGGAAGTGGTGAGAATAGAAGAGCAATAGTGATAGTGATTCAATGATTAGGGGAAACAGACAGGAGATTCTGTGATCACGAACGAGACTCCCGGATGGTATGTTGCCTCCTGGACGCCAGGGTCAGGGATGTCTTGGATCCAGTCTACAGGATTCTTAAGGGGGAGGGTGAGCAGCCAGAAGTCGTGGTACACATCGGTACCAATGACATAACTAGGAAAAGAGATGAGGACCTGAAAAGTGAATATAGGGAGTTAGATTGGAAAATAAAAGGCAGGATGAGCACAGCAGTAATCTCAGGATTACTACCGGTGCCATGGGCTAGTGAGGCTAGGAACAGAGAGCCACTGTAGCTGAATAGCTCTGTAGCCATGTGGTGTAGAAGGGAGGGCTTCAGATAATGTGGATCATTGGGATACCTTCTGGGGAAGGTGGGACATGTACAAGAAGGACAGGTTGCACCTGAACTGAAGGGGCACCAATATCCTGGGCGGGAAGTTTGCTAGATATCTTCGGGAGGGTTTAAACTAGTTTAGCAGGGGGATGGGAACTCGAGCTACAGATCAGATGGGTTAGTTGGAGTACAGGCAGATACAGAATGCAGAAAGTCTGTGAGCAAGGATAGACAGTTGATAGGGCAAAGTGGCAGTCAGTGTGACAGGCTGAAGTGTGTCTCTTTTAATGCAAGAAGTGTCAGGAATAAGGATGAGCATGGATCAGTACTTGGAGCTAAGATGTTGTGGCCATTATGAAGACTTGGATATCACAGGGGCAGGAATGGATGTTGTTGGATGTTTCAAAAGAAATAGGGAGGGAGGTAAAAGAGTGGCATTGCTAATCAAGGATGGTATCACAGCTGCAGAAAGGGAGGTTGTCGAGGAGGGTTTCTCCACTGAGTCAGTATGGGTGGAAGTCAGAAACAGGAAAGGAGCAGTCACTTTATTGGGAGTTTTCTATAGACCACCCAATAGCAACAGAGACACTGGGGAACAGATTGGGAGGCAGAATTTGGAAATGTGTAGAAATAACAGGGTTATTGTCATGGGCGACTTCAACTTCCCTAATATCGACTGGAACCTCCTAAGTGCAAATGGTTTGGATAGAGCAGATTTTGTCAGGTGTATCCAGGAATGATTTCTGACTCAATGTGTAGATAGGCCGACTAGAGGGAAGGCCATATTGGATTTGATGCTTGGCAACAAACCAGGTCAGGCGTTAGATCTCTCGGTGGGAGAGCATTTCGGTGATAGTGATCATAATTCCCTGACCTTTAGTATTATCATGGCGAGAGATATGAGTAGACGGTATGGGAAAATATTTGATTGGGGGAGGGGGAATTACAATGCTATTCGGCAGGAACTGCAGAGCATAAATTGGGAACTAATGTTCTCGGGGAAACGCACGGCAGAAATGTGGAGTTTGTTTCGGGAGCACTTGCTACAAGTACTGGATATGTTTGTCCCACTGAGGCAGGGAAAGAATGGTAAGGTGAAGGAACCTTGGATGCCAAGATATGTGGAACATCGAGTCAAGAGGAAGAAGGAAGCTTACTTAAGATTGAGGAAGCAAGGATCAGACAGGGCTCTAGAGGGTTACAAGGTAGCCAGGAAGGAACTGAAGAATGGACTTAGGAGAGCTAGAAGGGGGCATGAGAAAGCTGTGGCAGGTAGGATTAAGGAAAACCCCAAGGCGTTCTATACTTATGTGAGGAACAAGAGGATGGCCAGAATGAGGGTAGAGCCGATCAGGAATAGTGGAGGGAACTTGTGCCTGGAGTCAGAGGAAGTAGGGGAGGTCCTTAGTGAATACTTTGCTTCAGTATTCACCAGTGAGAGGGACCTTGTAGTTTGTGAGGACAGTGTGAAACAGGCTGATATGGTCAAGCAGGTCGATGTTAGGAAGGAGGATGTGCTAGAAATTTTGAAAAACAGAAGGATAGATAAATCCCCTGGGCCGGACGGGATATACCCAAAGTTGATATGGGGAGCGAGGGAAGAGATTGCTGTGCCTTTGGCGATGATCTTTGCGTCCTCACTGTCCACTGTAGTACCAGATGACTGGGGGGTGGCAAATGTTATTCCCTTGTTCAAGAAAGGGAATAGGGATAATCCTGGGAATTACAGACCAGTCAGTCTTACTTCTGTGGTGGACAAATTATTGGAGAGGATTCTGAGAGATAGCATTTATGATTATTTGGAAAAGCATAGTTTGCTTAGAAATAGTCAGCATGGCTTTGAGAGGGGCAGGTCATGCTTCACAAGCTGTACTGAATTCTTTGAGGATGTGACAAAAAACATTGATGAAGGCAGAGCAGTGGATGTGGTGTATATGGATTTTAGCAAGGCATTTGATAAGGTTCCAATGGTAGGCTCATTCAGATTCAGAAAGTAAGGAGGCATGGGATTCAGGGAAACTTGGCTGTCTGATACAGAATTGGCAGTCCAATACAAGACAGAGGGTGGTAGTTGACGCAAAGTATTCAGCCTGGAGCTTAGTGACCAGCGGTGTTCTGCAGGGATCTGTTCTGGGACATCTGCTCTTTGTGATCTTTATACATGACTTCGATGAGGATTTGGAAGGGTGGGTTAGTAAGTTTGTTGACAACACAAAGGTTGGTGGAGTTGTGGATAGTGTGGAGGGCTGTTGTAGGTTGCAACGGGACATTGACAGGATGCAGAGCTGGGCAAAGAAGTGGCAGATGGAATTCAACCCGGAAAAGTGTGAAGTAATCCATTTTGGAAGGTCGAATTTGAATGCAGAATACAAAGTTAATGGCAGATTCTTGGCAGTGTGGAGGAACAGAGGGATCTTGGGGTCCACGTCCATAGATCCCTCAAAGTTGCCACCCAAGTTGATAGGGTTGTAAAGAAGGCGTACGGTTGTTGGCTTTTATTGGCAGGGGGATTGAGTTTAAGAGCCGCGAGGTTATGCTGCAGCTCTATAAAACTCTGGTTAGACCACACTTGGAATATTGTGTTCAGTTCTGGTCGCCTCATTATAGGAAGGATGTGGAAGCTTTAGAGAGGGTGCAGAAGAGGTTTACCAGGATGCTGCCTGGAATGGAGGGCAGGTCTTAAGAGGAAAAGTTGAGGCAGCTAGGGCTTTTCTCATCGGAGCAAAGAAGGATGAGAGGTGACTTGATAGAGGTGTACAAGAAGATGACAGGCATAGATAGAGTGGATAGACAGAGACTTTCTCCCAGACAGAAATGACTAACACGAGGGGACGTAATTTTAAGGTGATTGGAGGAAGGTATAGAGGAGGTGTCAGATGTAGCTTCTTTACACAGAGAGCGGTGGGTGCATGGAATGCACTGCCAGCAGTGGTAGTAGAGTCAGATATATTAGGACATTTAAGTGACTCTTGGATAGGCACATGGCTGATAGTAAAATGAAGGGTATATAGGTTAGTTTTTGATCTTAGAGTAGGATAATAGGTCGGCACAACATCGTGGGCCGAAGGGCCTGTACTGTGCTGTGCTGTCTATGTTCTATGTTCAAGTCAGGAGTGTGATGGAATACTCTTCACTTGCTTGGATGAGTACAGCTCCGATAACACTCAAGAAGCTTGACACCATCCAGGACAAAGCAGCCCGCTTGATTGGCACGACATCCACAAGCATCCACTTCCTCTACCACTGATGCGCAGTAGCAGCAGTGTGTACATTCTACAAGATGCACTGCAGAGATTCACCTTAGATCCTCAAACAAGACCTTCCAAACCCACGACCACTTACATTTAGAAGGACAAGGGCAGCAGATAAGTGGGAACACCACCACCTTCATAATCCCCTCCAAGCCACTCACCATCCTGAATTAGAAATATATCACCGTTCAAGTGGTTCAAGAAGGTGGCTCACCACCACCTTCTCAAGGGCAACTCGGAATGGGCAATAAAGGCTGGCCAGCCAGCGACACCAACATCCCACGAATGAATAAAAGAAAAATCTCTGTCACAACCTTTCGCCATTTAAAAAAAAAGACAAAATACACCTCTTAAAGCCATAGTATTGTCACAGAAAGGTGCCAGGAAATTTTGGCAAATGTGATAGACAATAAGGACTTCAAAAATAATGGAAAGATAAGGTGTTCAAACAAGTAAACAGAGGCACAAGAGCAAAAATACATGCTGAAGCACATCTACGAATAAACCATGATGTTACTGTCGTCAATGATGGACTGGGTGTGAAATGCAATGGATGTGTACTACGTGGGGCAGTTTCCTAGAGGAACAAGGCATCAATAGGGTGCCAAGGTTTGATAAATGCGTTAAAAATAAATTGGCCCATGGCTCAACTGTCATAACATGAATATCTTTAAAATGACAAGCTCAATGATGTAAAAATGTGTATAAAAACATGTTTGAATCTATACATTTACCTTAAGGCTTTTCTTCTTTCTTGTGGATCTGCAGAAACGTATAGTTTCATTTCATCAGCAGCTCGCTGTATCTGCTTTTCAGCAATCTGTTCCAACAGAAGACAATTTATCCACCTGCAATCTTTTTCTCTCAAAACTTTCTGTGACCAATGTTTATTCATTGTAACTTACCCATATGGGCAATTACCTTTATCAAGCAATTGATGTAATGGTATCGAGTTTCCTCCTGCCCACATTCTTCTCTGAGCCCTTGGACTTCCTGCCAATGTTTTAAATTTAAGAATTACATTACAGGGTAGTAATGTATACATGGAAAATGTATACTATAGTGAGAAAATATAAAATTAGTTACTTTAATGAATTAACAGCATTACTTAGATAAACATTATTTGACTGAGTTATAATGCTAGAAATCAACTTTAGCTTTTTAGTCTTATCTTTAAAAGGTAAAAGTTATTGGGAGGATTTTTCTGTTCAGAGATAACCCACTTGGTCAGACATGAAATATTTTGGATTTTGTGGAAAGTTTATAATTACTGAATAGGCAGTAATCTCCATTTGGTAGCAATTCTTTTTGTGCTAAACCCAGGCTGTCTTAAGGGAGCTGGTTCTCACAAATGAATTAAGCCACTCCCGGGTGTGTTGGGCTATCTCTAGAAGATGTGCTGTCCAAATGTCCAAGGAGTGAAAAGTGAGAGTAGAAACAGTGTCTGGCACTGAGGGAAAGAGTTGGACATAAAATATCCAGTATAAATGTGTTCTAACAATAGGGGTAAGTGTGATTGGATTGCTGCCCACTGCTATGGAATCTCATTCTCTGCTTCTCCTCTTCCATCATTATAAATCAAAGAGATATGCACATTGGAAAGAGCATTCCAGCTCATTTGACCTTCTGAATGTGCAAGGTTTGAAATATCGACGTCATTTTGGTTAAGGACAAGGCAGGTTTAAAAAAATGTTTTGTCAAACTACGAGAAAACTCCTTATCAAGCTCCAGAATCTCAGTAATACACAGATTATGCAGCTTCTGGATGCTTAGGAAGTCAAACTACTCTCAGCATGTTAAGTCACATAATTCTAGCTAAGTTGTGTAATCAGTCTTTTTCAGATATGTGAGTAAGATATGTAGCAGAATGTATTGACCCTCTCACAAATAAATCAAGAAATTCATCAGCTGCAGTGTTTCATCATAAAAGCTCTATAAACTACTTCAATATGAATTTCCTTCACTAAGTCAATGGTATACTGGGAGATATTAAATGGTTTAATCAGAAGCCTTGCTTTTGACTTCAAGGGTTTCTCCAATTGCAGCACCACTCCCAGTCGACATCAGTAATCTTAAAACAGCTTTGCACTTCTACAATCTCAGAAATACCCTCTATAAATTAATCAGCAACTAACTCAAGAATGGTTGATGATCCCATTAAATGGCTGGAAGGTGCTCCCTACTGCTGATCCCCAGTTCAACTGCACATATTTAATAGCAATAGTTTGCTGGAGCACAAGATCAAAAATGGTGGTGATGGTATCAATCAGCATTATACACTGAATGACATTATAATTTCCCTACTCTGTGTATTTATGGCATATGATTCCAGCCTCACTAAACAGTGCCCAGACTCGGTTGTGCCAAGAGTGCACGTGTGCACAGCATGAATGCCACAGTGTTAAAATAATGGGCATCAAGGAGCCAACTTTTGTGGTAACTGCTTCAATGACAATTTAGCTTACAAGTATAGCAAGGATACGCATCAATGTTGTCTTGTTTTCAAATTGTATTAAATATCCAGAAATTAATAGTATTTTATGATAATAATTCATGATTGGGAGCGTAACAGAACAACCTTTCACATGCAAGCAGCTTCATTATAAGTTGGAATTCTTTCAAAAAAATTGGAAGAGGAATTATTTTGTTACTACATCTTCAAACAGCAAATCATACCAAACAGAAACTCCCTGGCTTAATTCCCAGTTTGTACTGACTTAGCTAGGGCAAACCTAGCCATGGTCTTTTAGGTCCCATCTCTACAGATCCATCTGTTTGACAAAGCAGGCTGACATTTATCAACTTCCAAATATAGTCCAAATTCCTTCCAAATCTGTAACTCTGAATTTAACCTCTTTCATCAACCTATCTTCCATTCTATTAGTATCCGGAAACACCTCTTAATCATGGGGAGTTTGACTTTTATCCATTGTTTGAGAAGACTTTCTATTACTCATGCTACGTGGTCACCTCAGCCAGCTCTCGCATTCGAGGTCTGTCTAGACTACACCTGTCAGGATGTCTGCCAGAAGATGTGTGTACTGTAAGTGACCTTGTCTTCATAAATATATCCCTGAATTGGTACTGGAATTGTGTTCTTGCAACTGGTGTGCCACATTGCACATGTGCAAAAATTAACCAAAGCTCTTTGGCAAGACACTGGAAGGAAATTACCTGTGATCCTTTCAATCAGCTAAAGTCCTTCCCTTCAGGAGAGGAGGGCAGGAAGAAAATCCTCAAATTTAGTTATTTCTGCTTTTAAATAGCAAGATTAGAATGTGTTTTCTGTTCAAAATACTTTTGTATTGATTTCATGCAATTTAGGCAGTTATTTTGGTAGTCAAAAAAAAGTTTCCCAAGTTTAATTAAATGGTGCAACACACTGCCAGCAGTAACTAGTGAATATGTAAAATGTGCATGACTTTTCCCTACCTGTTCGAGCTTAGATCGATTGCTTTCCAAACCCGCTGCACAACTGTCATAGAGTGATTTCTTTTCTTCATACTCTTGAGTTAATTCCTAATGTAAAATGGCAAAATATCATGCAAATGAAACTATGGAGCTAGCAGCATGTAACACTGAAACAATCTGCATCCTTGTCAATCATAGATTAAGACCTTGTATTGTCAAATATAGTTAACAGAGAACAGGCCCTTCTAGCCACCATGTCTGACCATGATGCCAATGATGAAATGTCAGATTGGAATTTAATCCAGACCTGCATTTTGGAGGGTCAAATGCAAGAAGAAAGTAAACAGTGAATTGAGGTACCTTTAGAAGCATTAATATACAAAGGGATCTTGTGGTTCAAGTCCACAGCTCTAATCCCATCTGCCTGCGTATGGTCCACATCCCTCTATTCCCTGCCTGTTCATTGGACTGTCTAAATGCCTCTGAGAAGTTTCTATTGTATCTACTCCTAATATCTCACCTGGCAATGCGTTCCAGGTACCGACCACCCTCTGTATAGAAAACTTGCCTCGCACATCTCCTTTAAACTCACCCTCACCTCACTCCCCACTCCCCACTCCCCTCACCACCTTAAAATGATGCCCTTTAGTATTTGATATTTCCACCCTGGGAAAAAGGCTCTGAATATCCATGCCTTTCCTGAAAGCTAAATACGGTCCAAGGCAATATCCGGATAAACCTCCTATGCACTCTCTCCAAAGCCTCTACATCCATCCTATGGTGTGGCAACCAGAACAGCACAGAATAATCCAAATTAGGGCTAACACGAAGTTTTATACAGCTGCAACATGACATGTCAACTTCTATACCCAATATCCCGACTGATAAGCATGCCATACACCTTCTTTACTACTTGTGTTGCCACTTTCAGGGAGCTGTGGAGTTGAACCGCAAGATCCTTTTGTATATTAATGCTTCTAAAGGTACCTCAATTCACTGTTTACTTTCTTCTTGCATTTGAGCCTCCAAAATGCAGGTCTGGATTAAATTCCAATCTGACATTTCATCATCCAACTTTCCAACTAGCTTTATACATTTGCATTTGGAGTGAAATTTCAATACCTGTACTTTCTATTCAGAGTTTAACAGCTAACTTGACACTTCAGCGTCAGTAACGAAAGATGTGTGTTTGTTGAACATCAATTCTTACCCAAATACACTTCCCTTTACAATAGTAGCAAGTTTTTTTGGCTAATATGCATACTGAAACTTATGTGTCAAATTAAACATTGGAATTTGGTAAACCAGTTTAATAAAAGAACAAAAGAACAAAACAGAAATACAGCACAGGAGCAGGCCCTTTGGCCTTCAAGCCTGGCCGAACTTCATGCCCTAACCAAACTAAAAAAAAACAAACCTTCTTCCCTTATTCGGTCTGTATCCCTCTTTTCCTTCCTATTCACGTAATCATTCACATGTCTCTTAAATGTCACCAACGTGCCTACTTCCACCACCTCATCTGGCAGTGCGTTCCAGGCTCCTACTACTCTGAAAAATTTCCCTCGCACATCTCACTTAAACTTTCCCTCTCTCACCGTGAACCTGTGCCCCCAGTAATTGAAATTTCAACCCTGGGTAAAAGCCTCTGACTATCCACCCTATATCTATACCTCTCATAATTTTGTAGACCTCAGGTCTCTTCTCAGCCGCCATCTTTCCAGTGAAAACAATCCTAGTCTTTTTAACCATTCCTCATAGCCAATGCCCTCAAGACTGGGCAACATCCTGGTGGACCTTCTCTGCACTCTCTCCAAAGTTTCCACGTCCTTCTGGTAGTGTGGCGACCAAAACAACCCATACTACTCCAAATATGGCCTAACGAGTGTTTTATATAGCTGCAAGATGGTTTACCAACTCTTGTACTCCTTGCCCTGGCCAATGCTTTCTTAAGCACCTTGGACACCTGTATTGCCACTTTTAGGGAACAGTGGACCTGCATGCGCAGATCCACTTGTATGTTAATGTTCCTAAGGGTTCTGCCATTTACAAAATGATTTACACCTAAATTTAATCCTCCAAACTACATCACCTCTCATTTGTCTGGATTAAACTCCAACTGCCATTTCTGTGCCCAAGTTGCCAATCTATCTATATCCTGTTGTATCCTTTCACAATTGGCACTATCAGCAACTCCACCAATCTTCATGTCATATGCAAATTTACTAATCAGACCACCCACATTTTCTTCCAGAGCATTTATATATATATATATATACACTACAAACAACAGAGGATCTAAGACTGATCCCTATGGAACACCATTAATTACTGGTCTCCATTCTGAAAAACACCCTTCCAATGCTACCCTCTGTCTTCTATGACTAAACTAGTTTTGTATCCATCTAACCAGCCCACCCCGAATCCCATGTGATTTTAGTTTTTGTAGCAACCTGCCATGTGGGATTTTATCAAATGCCTTACTAAAGTCCATATAAACTATATCCACAGCTCTTCCCTCATCAATTATCTTGGTCACCTCTTCAAAAAATTTAGTCAGGTTGGTGAGACATGACCTTTCCCTTACAGAACCATGCTGCCTGTCAGTAACTAGTCCATTTTCATCCAAATGTGCATATATCTTGGTCCCTGAGTGTCTTCTCCAAGAGCTTCTCCAACACAGATGTCAGGCTCACTAGCCTACAATTTCCTCGATTATCCCTGCTTCCTTTCTTAAACAAGGGAATAACATTGGCTAATCTCCAGTCCTCTGCAACCTCGCTTGTGGTCAAAGGGGATGTGAAGATATCTGCTAATGCCCCAGCTATTTCTTCCCTTTCCTCTTGCATTAACTTGGAATAGATCCCATCTGGCCCTGGGGACCTGTCTACCTTAGTGCAATTTAGGCTACCCAAAACGTCTTCCTTCAATATATTGACATCATCTAGAGTATTCACACACTCATCCCTGACCTCAGCATCAGTCATGTCCTTCTCCTTGGTGAATACCGATACCAAATCCTCATTAAGGATCTCTCCCACTTCCTGTGGCTGCACGCATAACTTCCCTCTTTTGTCCTTGAGTGGACCTACTCTTTCCCTTGCTATCCTCTTTCTTTTACTACATGCATAAAAAACCTTGGGATTTTCCTTGACCCTGTTTGCTAAAGATATTTCATAGTCACTTTTAGCCTTCCTAATTCCACGTTTAAAGTTCCTTCCTAATTTCTCTATACTCCTCAAGGGCTTCGTCAGTTTGTAGCTGCCTAGACCTATTGTATGCTTCCTTTTTCCTTTTGACTAAGCTTATAATTTCCCTCGTCATCCATGGTTCCAGAATCCTGTCATTTCTATCCTTCAGTTTTGCAGGGACATGCATGTTCTGCACTTTAATCAAGTGGTCTTTAAAAGCCTCCCACATGCCAGACGTAGACTTGCCCTCAAATAACTGCTTCCAATCCACATTCCCCAGTTCCTGTCTATTAGGATGTAATTGGCCCTTGCACAATTAAGCACTCTCGTCCGAGGGCCATTGCCCACGACTACTTGAAATCTTATGGAGTTATGGTCACTAAGCCCAAAATGCTTTCCTACTGAAACATCAATCACCTGTCCTGGCTCATTTTCTAATACCAAGTCTAGAATGGCCTCCTCTCTGGTTGGATTGTCAACATACTTTCTCAAAAAGCCCTCCTGGACACATTTAACAAACTGCTCTCCATCTGAGCCCCTGGGTCTAAGGGAGACCCACCCTTTCCATTCCTGAGCTCCAACCATAATTCCTCACTGCAAGATGCCTCTGATGTGTCCTCCCTCAAAACAGTTGTGATGTGGTCCCTAAATCAGCAAAGCAATTCCCCCACCCCTTTTGGTTCCCTTTCTGTTCCGTCTGAAACAGCGATATCCTGCAATGTTAAGCTGCCAGTCTTGTCCCACCTTTAACAAGGTCTCAGTAATGGCAATAACATCATAATTCCATGCAGTAATCTATGTTTTTAGTACATCTGTCTTACCTGTTATACTTCTTGCATTGAAGTAAATGCACTCCAGACTCCCAGTGCCTCTGAGCCCTGCAAATTCCCTCTGCCTGCTCTTACTCTGCACTATGTGTTTCTCAGTCTCTCTTTTGTCCCCAGTCCTGCACTTACTAGCCTGTTGTTCTGGTCCCACCCCCCGCCACACTAGTTTAAATGCTTCTGAAGAGCTCTAGCAAACCTTCCACCCAGGATATTGGTGCCCCTCAGTTCAGGTGCAACCCGTCCTTCTTGTACAGGTTCCATCTTCCCCACAAGATGATCCATATATCGAAAGCCCTCCCTCCTACACCAGCTCTGTACCCACGTGTTCAACTGTACTCTCTCTCTGTTCCTAATCTCACTAACCTGTGGCATGGGTAGTAATCCTGAGACTAATCCTGCTGTTTAGCTCCCTACCTAACTCCTTGAATTGTCTTTGCTAGACCTCTTCCTTCTTCCTACCTATGTCATCAAAACTAATGTTTTGATTTCGCTGGCAATTGGACATATAAGAATTGACATATTTCAGCATTATCTGCTTTGCTGCTTAAAGTCTACCACCTACCTGACATTTTTGACGCAATGGTCGTAGTTCTTTGATGACAGGAGCCAGTGCAGTCTTTTTTTCAGAAATAAGGGCATTGAGTTTCTTTATCTGTAGAAATGTCACCAAAAACAAAAAAAAAGTAGTACTGTGCATAATCCCTATTTTCCCACAATCAGAGATGTAAAGTTAATTTGTAGTTACTCAAATTTCAGCAATGCAATGCATTTTGAACTCAATATTTTCCTTTTTGTTGTGAACTCTTATAGGCCACATGTACATCTTATTAATATTAAATTCAAAGTAGGGAAAATAAAACTAATCTACAATATAGCACGTAGCTAAAAACATAACCCCATACAAGCTAATTTAAGTCACTGCTCTGCTGTTCTTATGTAAGGAGTACATGATAGGTACAAAAACAAAGTTGCTGGAAAAGCTCAGCAGGTCTGGCAGCATCTGTGAAGAAAAAAACAGAGTTAACGTTTCGGGTCCGGTGATCCTTCCTCAGAACTATGACAGGTAGTTGTTTTTGGTGCTCTGTGTGCGTGCGTGCATTCCAGAGAGATGTCAGTGTAAGAAGGATATTTGGACAGGAGAGAGATTAGGACTGACTCATCCATTGCTAAGAATTTTAAAAATCATTTCAGCAATCTTTTCTTGGAAGTGTAAACAAAGCCCAGGAATACAGGTAAAGTTTTGGAAATTGCATGAATGCATTCATGGGTTAAATGTAACATTTTTAAGTAAGGGCAGTTCTATTCACATTAGGGTATTCACAACTGAAGGCAGACTTAGCAATGCTCTGCTGCATTCTTATGATGCATGCTGGTGATCTTTTGTTGGGGAGGGGCACCAATGACTTTGAAAAACAGATCATCAATTGAATTAGGAAGGAATTCAAAATAGGCAGTCAAGCTTCAGGAGCTTTCAAACATGTGGGTTTGGAAATTAGCAGGGTGAGTCATGTATAATTCTAAAACTCAAGTCTTAGTTGGAAGTGATCAATTTGATTGCAATTATATATACAAGATCTGGACAGAAAGATGAAGCTACTATTAAGGATGAGATGGAAAGGCAGAGGAATCTCGACAGAGCTCAACTGATCTGGGAAACAGAGCAGAGTAGATACAAGTTTTGATGTGTTGTAACCTAACCTGGCCATGAAAAATCCAAAGGCGGAAGCTACCTTGAGAGTGAAAACACTTCATAAAAAATTAAAATAGAGCATTGTATGCCAAAGTTGTCAGCTTTGAATGATCCCAATAATATGACATTAACCATCTTTCGTGATGCCTCACATCTTTGTGACAGATTTTCCAGTGCAAGAGCATTTGTGATATTCCTTGTGGAAGAAATGGGAAAAGTTGTCCCTCAGTTTGGAAGGCAAAGAAAAAGCATGGCAAATAGTACATTAGCTGCTGAAAGTCTGCCTCTCTTTGATGCTGTTGACATGGCATATAATTTGACTAAGATCTTACAGGAAATGCTATGTGTAAAACAGACTGAAAGAACAAAATCAACAATGTTAAGAAATCTCCAAGTTTAATAAGGTAGATACTCGATGTCAACCATCAGATCGTTTCACAGAGCGGATTGCCTCCCCAGAAAAAAAAAACTGTTTAAGCTTCTGAAAGAAGCATGTCTCGCCATTTAACAGTGGGAATATGAAATTGTGCTTTACCAAAAAAAAAAAAAGATTTTATATAAAAGCAATTTTATTTTTTCTTAAAAGAAAGGGAGTCTCTCAGAGTTAAGAATCAGGTCCTTTAAGGCTCAAACAGATCACGTCCAGAGTTGATTGAGAGCAGGTGATGTTTGTTTGACTTTGGTATTTTGTATTGTCAATATCACCCAGTGGTTGAGGTAATGGACTTGAAACTCATTGGGGTCTCCCCACACAGGTTTGAATCGTGCTGACTATGGTTCTCAATCTTGCTGATTTTGAGGAATCTTGTGGTGCAGTGGTACTATCCCTACCTCTGGGCCAGAAGGTACTGGTTCAAGTGCCAGCTGCTCTAGAGGTTTGTCATAACATGTCTGAATGGGTTCATTAAAAGTATCTACCTCCTGCGTTTAATATGTACCCTTAGTGTAGTTTAATATGATAACTGATATCATTTAAGAGCTGAGTTTCGAGAGCTCTTCTGATGCAGTGTCAGCATCTCTACTTCTGATCCAGGAGATCAAAATTTGCTTGCAGATATTACTACACTTATACAACGAGCTTGCTTTAAGTCAATTCACGAATAAACCATGTCACTATATCACAAATGCATGTGGAAACATAACCAGTTTTGATATGCACTAAATGACCTTCACCGTATTTTTTTCCTTTTATTGAAAATTCAACAGTGAGTTAATTCCCAAGTTCTAAACTAATTTGCTAATTAATTGAATGACCGCAATGGAGCTGCAAGGGAAATACATGCTTTCTTTTAAAAATCAAAACAAAATATATTATTACCTGACAGTTTCAACTTCATGCAAAAGTACAAATTGTAAAGAACAATACAACAAAAAAATGTGTTACATTAGAATATGAAGACATCGTACACTGATTCAAATGTGTTACAATGTAACCTAGCTTTGAAGCGTTCTACAGTGGAGTAACTGTCATGTTTGGCCTATTCAACTTGACATGCATTTCAATTTTTTATGACCTTAAATAATTACATGTACCGTAAATAGTAAGAGCAAATGATGGAAGATGGAGAAATTGAATTCAATAATACCACTTGAATAAGATGGCTAGTCACTATGGAAATGTACCCTGAACTGTGGAAAACAGTTTTCAGGAAGTTGGAAAGAAAATTTACGATAAAAAAACAAGCTTATGAATTAACTTCTAATAGTTTAAACCTCAAGAGGTCATGAATAATTAGTCTATAGTACTATGATAGCAAACACTCATTCCACTTGTTTGCTTCAGAATTCGATGATTATGGATAATAAATGCTGAGGCATTGAAGTGATCTCATACAATCTGTTACCATGCTGTCACATAAATCAGACAGAAATAAAGTTGTTTAATTTTAAATTAGCTGATCTTTGCATGTTTTATTAAATGAAAACTGATCAGTCAAGTGCATTTTCTATGCTCAGTGCAAACACCAAGGCAAGTCAAACTCAGCCAACTGGTCAGACCTCTAACCTTCTTCACCTTGGGTCACCCTGTTCAGAAGTGAAATCATGAAGGGAAAGTAGTATCCAAAGTTCAATCCTTCCTCAATGAATTCCACTCATTCTCATCAAGAAAGGATTGGACACTGGACACCACTTTTCCAATCACGATTTTAGTTCACTTCATTGCAAATTAGCTTCACATTATTACATTGAGAAATTTCACACATTTGTTCTCTAGCCACTGGCCTACAGTTTTGGAAGGCATCTCCAGAATAAAATATAAATTATTTTAACTCAATATATTTTTACGAATAAGTTTATTGGCCAAATTACTTGATTTCATGTCTCTATTAAAAATGAATGGAATTGATGTGCTCTATTTCCTGTGATAAAGTGTTATAATGAAGGTTTAAATATAATCATAGGTATTATTGGAAAAGGTAGATCAAACTCCCTAGCATTTTCTCTTTGTTTTCATCAACAAAACATTCAGCTAAGTGTTAAGAAATGCCATCAGTAAAACCACTAACAGCATTCAGTAATACTAATTAACTTGATATGTTCTTTTATATATGCATCAAAACCCTTATTTTCCTATGAATGGGTATTGAAGTATGAAATATAATATGGGTGCTTAAATGAGAAAAAAATAATTTTTGTCATACTTTTAAAGCTGCTCAAGAAAGTGAATTGTCAGCTTTGCATCTAAAGACTTGACTCTCACCAAGAAAGGTTTAATGTGAAAGAAAAAGCAGAATATTGTTATGTTTCCCAGAGGCATTAAGATAAAACTAGGTTTTGGATCATTCAAATAAATGACAACTTAGCTTATACAGTGCTATACGTTAACATATTTCAAGCATGTTTCAACCAAACAACAGATTATGTTGGAAGTACACTTGCTAAGAAGTAAAATGGCACTGTGAATAGCAAGTGATTAGAATGTGAATTTTTTTTCCCCATACCATGATCAAATGGTCAATTCTTTCATTTTTTTTTTTAAATCCTGTAATTTCAAAATCAGGCTATCTAAAGGAGTGGTCATCACAACTCAGGCTAGAGAGGGAGGAGATTTAAGAGTTACAAAAAATTCTATTATTACGGTTTTGTATGAAGTGACTCAAAAGAAATCATTTATTGAGAAGATAACCTTAATAATTTCTTCAAAATATGGAAGGTTTTAAACAATGCCACATCTATTGATGGGGACTGCTAGCATTAATTTCACACTCTGCAACAGGTTTTGTTAGTTTTAACTCTGAGATCAATAACATTTTGTTAAGCAAAGGTATTGAGAGATATGGGTCATAGGCAGGTTTTTGGGTTAAGATCACAAATCAGCCATGATCTCATTAAATGATAGAACAGGCTTGAGGGGCTGAAGGACCTACTCATATTCTTATGTTTTTATTCTAATGTGTAAAGAGATGGAATTTTACATGAGAAAAGGCAACACATGTCTCAGTTTATAGTATGGCTTGGGCAAAAATAAAGCATTTTCATCTAATTATATATTTAAACTGAGGGACATAAATACTAAGTTGATTCCAAAGTGCCAATGTGAAAACATTACAAGCATATTTTGGCTGGCAGCATTTCTTTATACGAAATATTAAAACAAATTTAATTAGATGGATTAATTGTTGGGAGGGTAGGAGAATTATGCATAGTGAATTGATATAATAGGTTAACAACTAGCAATATGTTATCTACTGGGTAGAAAAAGGAACAGGCATAATACCATAATAGTAATTTTCTTTTTTGCAAATCGTAACACAGTCCTTCATTAATGAGCAACTACTTCATAAATGTTAGGTTTTATAAAAATATAGATCACCATTTCAGACATTTCATCAAGAGTTCGTCCTTTCACTTCATCCAACTCGCTCTTCAATGCGGATACCCTCTCCAGTTCCTCCTGAGTATCACTGAAGCCTGTAATACCATGCTTAGCTTCGAAGGCTTGCTGTGAACACAAATCATTTGAAAAAAGTATGAAAATGGAGTTGGCCATTTATGTCATAAATAAGTATGTGTCATCAGTTCCAGATCAGGAGCTTGTACATTTATTTATAGGGCGCTGAAAATTCCAATAATTTGAAGTGCTTGGCATAGATTGCTTCGAAAATTAATCGTATTCTTCCATTTCAACGGAAATATTATAACCACTATTAGTTAGTTAACAGCCATTTTAAATAGCTGTAGTAAATGTAAGAGACAGCCCTTTTGTACCATGTGGGAGACAGTAGGTCTGATTCTGAATTCAGTGTACATCTTTATTCAGGTTCATCTTGTGGAGCTTACTGAGCCTGTAAACCCAGCAACTGTAGTGAGGATAAATAACTGACAGGAGGTGCTGTCGATATGAAGACCCAGAATTCAACAGACCAGCAGCAGATCTGAGAGAGACTCAGGAGCAGCAGTACTGAGGTTAAAAAGAGCAGTGAGAGTGGCCAAATGGGAAAAGGCTTTGGAAATCTGAAGTACAAAGGGACCAAGGTGTCCCAGTTCAGGATTTCTTAAGGTTAATATGCAGGCTCAATTAGCAAATAGGAAGTTAGAATACAAGAGCAGAGATGTGCTGCTGAGGCTGCATAAGGCCCTGGTCAGACTGCATTTGGAATATTGAGAGCAGTTTTGGGCCCCATATCTAAGGAAGGATGTGTTGACCATTGAGATAGTCCAGAGGAAGTTTACAATGAATGATCCAGAGATGAAGGGCTTGTGGACTCTGGGTTTGTACTCGACGGAGTTTAAAAAGATGAGTGGGGATTCTCATTGAAACTTACCGCATATTTCGAGGCCTTGATAGAATGGACATGGAGTTGTTCCACTAGTAGGAGAGACTAGAACCAGAGGGCACAGCCTCAGAATGAAGGGATGACTTTTTAGAACTGAGGAGGAATTTCTTCAGCCAGAGGGTGGTGAATATGTGGAAGTCATTGCCACAGAAGGCTGTGGAGGCCAAGTCATTGGAGTGTATTTAAAGCAGAGATAGATAGGTTCTCGATTAGTAAGGGGATCAGGGTTAGGGGCAAAGGTATGAGAATGGAGATGAGAAACATATGAGGCATGAGCAAATGGTGAGCAGATTCAATGGACCAAACAGCCTAATTCTGCACTATTACCTTATGATCTAAAAACACGAGGCTTAGAATCAAATTAAGAGGTAGAAGGCTAAAAGGAGAGTTGAGGAGAAGGTTTTTCACCCAGGGAGTCTGGAACTCATCACCTAAAACAGTGTTGAGTCAGAAACTCTTGTAACATTGAAACAATGTTTAGACATTCACTCACGTTGCCATTGCCTCCAAGGCTATAGGCCAAAAGCCAGAAAATAAGATTAGTGTCATCAGATTGTTGCTGACCAATGTGGACATCATGGGCCAAATGACCACCTGCTATTCTGTAAATGTCAATGAGACCAGAAAAAGAAAATTTCATAGGGACTCCATGTCCACTCAACTTTCAACTCCGAAAGCCTTTTAATGGAGTAAAGCATCCCAGAATAAACAGCAAACAAAATTTGACACGAGACCATGGAACAGCCTGTTATCATAGAGTATCTTAGTGGAGAGAATAGAGGTGGAGTTCAGGAATACAAGGAAGATTGAGAGGGGAAATGGTAGCTGGGCAGAGCTGCCAATGTTGGTACATGGAAAATCAGGGGTGAACAAGAAGCTAAAATGATCATGATGGTTGTAGCATTGGAGAAGTGAGGACATGGAGGTGTTTGAAAACAAGGAAGAGAAGTTTTAAAATTAATGTATTTCTGGATTAGGAGCCTGTAGGTCAATGAGCGTAGAGGTGATGAACGAAGGGGACTTAGTACATGTTAGGGTTGGAGCAAAGATTTAGCCGAGTTCAAATTTATAGATTGCAGCCTATTGTTTTGAGGGTTTAATGAGCCTGACTGTCTAAAGGATCTGCAATAACACAGATTATTAAACACTCAGGCTATTACAGTTATCAAATAAATTCCACTTCACATATTTTAGGATTTTTTGAAGAAGTTCTAAATATAACATACTGGAAATAATGCAACAAGGACAGATCAGTTTCAAAAATGTACTATTCTACAGTTCCATGAGAGAACAGAACAACATGAAGAACATGTAGCAAGTCAGTTTCCAGCAATATTTCTTTAGCAAACAATGACTAAATCTGTTTAAAAGTCTGAAAAAAAAACAAAACCATTAATAGAAAACTTTGCTTTTGGTACTACATTATCTCACTTTGAATGACGAGCTGGATTGGCATGGACAAATTGGGCCGAAGGATCTGTTTCCATGCTAGACAGCTCTGTGGCTCTATGACTCTCTTGTTCAGAAACAGATCTTCAGAAGAAAAATATAAATAGATTGAAGCTAATATTTATTCTGTGTAGCAGGTTAAGTTTTCAAAGAAGCAGAGCATTATGCTATGCAATTCAAATCTCTGTATAACCAAAATGAAATAAATATGGAAAAATTTAAATATTCAGCTATCTGAAAATATATTCTGCATGCACAAAGACAAAAAAACTATGAAATGCCAACTGTTAACAACTCATGCTTTTCTAGATAATCAGTGCAGTATTAATTAAAGGCATGGGAACTTGCAGGGATGACTGAAATGGTTTAATTGAAAGTTGTTTCACTTTACATGTTTGTCTCGGAATAGTCTTGATTTGGACAACGAATGTATTTAAAGTCAGGTTTTCATATTACCAGCTGCTGCTGAATGGCCTCATGTCGCAGCTTTAAAATTTCTTCAGTTCTCTGCAGCACACCATACTCTGCTCTGAGCTCTGCTAGTTCTTGACGTTTCTTCTTATAAACTGTGCTCTTACTCCGAAGCTTGCTGACATAGCGTTTGAACTAGAAATAATATAAATGAGAGGGAAATAAGTTAGTTCTGTCAGGGCTAAAAATAGATTTGGAAAACTAATGTTTCAGAGCTGCAAATAACAATTAAAAATGTTATTAGTTTCAGCACCAAAACCAATCTCAGTCTCTACAAAACAAGATAGACTGGCAATGCTAAATTCCAGAGTCTGAAGAGTTTATTAGACAACAGAGCAAATTCTACAAAAAGTGTCCTGGGTGTTAATATTACAAGTAGTTAGCTAAGTAGGATTAATGGATTAACTGATAGGGTAGAAGTGCAGGGGATGTGGTTAGCTCAGTTGGCTGGACAACTGATTTGCAGTGATGGTGATGCCAACAGCGTGGGTTTTTTCTGTACTGGCTGAAGTTATCATGAAAGACTCTACTTCTCAACCTCTCCTGTCATCTCAGGCATGGTGACCCTTCGGTTAAACTACCCCAATCATCTCTCTCTGATGAGAAAGTAACTCTGTGGTCTGGTATGACTATGGTGACTTTATTTTCAGATATAAAAGGGAGAAACAGCGGGCTGGTATGTGGAAGGAGCTGTAAGACTATCTTGGTTCTGATCTGACACTGGGCAAAAATTGTCTGGTATTGCGAAGTTGGGTAGAGTTCTAGTGGATTGGAAGACAGGTCGTTAGAATGTTTGTGTAAAATGATAGGGATAGAGTGCATGGCCTCTTTACAAAATGATGTGCTTTTTCCAGTTTCGGAGATTAAAAAAAAAAGGGTCTGCGAGCAGCAGCAGGCACAGAGAGTTCCTGAAATTAAAACATCTGTATCAAAAGGTTGCACGGTTAGCAACCTGGGTAGCAGTCTTGTTTTGTTATTAAGGCAACCAGTTTGAATCAGCAAAAAATTTAAATCAGGCACTTAGAGACTAAAAACCTATTAAATTTAAATCTGATGGTTTTGACAACCTAGGGTCAATCCTATTGTGAGGAATTGATAGGTCATCAAGGGTATAAAATAAGATGTCATCTGAAAATCAATATGAGAGCATCTGCCATCTGTTAGAGTTAACAACCAGCAGCTCGAAAGAGAAAATCACTGGTTCTCGTAGAATTTTCTAAGCTCTCAGAAAACCATCATCTGACTAAAGGTACAGCGGCACCCTTAGCTAATATTCCTGACACAAGAATTTGACGGAGAATGGCATTCCTGACTGAAGAACAGCAGAGAAGACACAGAACATTCTGGAAGACATATCCTGGCTGTAATTTTGAGAGACTAAGTTTTATGTTTTTTTTATTCATTTGGTTTATATAAGTGGGATTTGTATTTATTGGAAAGGAATACCATTAGAATTTTGTTTTATTTGGGAATAGTTATTAGTATTTGGGGAATTGTTAGGTTTGTTAGTAGTTCTGTTAGTTTGTTCACTGTTAGAGTTAGATAAATAAATTGTTACTTGTTGAATATAGAGGGACTATCAGGAGTTCATTTCATCTAACTTCCCCTTTACAACAGCTTGAGGATGACAGGCAGGTTATGCCACTTTTCACACTTCTTTTAACAGATTATAGGGCAGGTTGAGCCTCTCTGGGTGTTTTGGTTTTTAGTTATTGGGGCAGGGGTTCAACCTCCACTTTATAACACTAGCTACTGCTATGTGAAAGATTTGAAGGCAGAGTTTTCCTGCCACCCTCCAAAGAAGCTCAGTGATAGCTTATTATCATAATTAAAAACATGTAAATTACTTCATATACATTTATAAAGCATGGAATCTATAGTTCATAAACAAACTGATTATTTCATTGAACTTAATTGCCTTGATCTAACAAAGAAGCTCTCCATCTATAAATATATTTAACAAACAATATAATACAAGAGGTATATTCCATATATTCAAACAGACAGAAATGCTTTTTGTGCAATTTCTGCTTGGTTTTGTTTGCCACTGAAATAGTAATTCATGAAAAGGAAAATGTTGCTTTGAAAGCTTTCCCTTATAAACAAACCCTGTATTACATTTTCCACAGGTTCAAGATGCAAGAAGTTAAATCTACACCATGTATAGAATTGGCCGTTTGATTAGAATTATATCCTGTCTGTTTGTTTTTTTTAAAAAAATTCATTTTTGGGATGTGGGCATCACTGGCTGGCCAGCATTTATTGCCTGTCCCTAGATGCCCTTGAGAAGGTGGTGGTGAGCTGCCTTCATGAACTGCTGCAGTCCACCATCTGTGTGTTGACCCATAATGCCGTTAGGGAGGAAATTCCTGGAGTTTGACACAGCAACAGTGAAGGAACGGCGATATATTTCCAAGTCAAGATGGTAAGTGGCTTGGAGGGGAACATGAAGGTGGTTGTGTTGCCATATGTCTGCTGTCCTTGTCCTTCTAGATGGAAGTGGTCATGGGTTTGGAAGATGCTGTCTGTGGATCTTTGGTGATTTTTTGCTGTGCATCTTGTAGATAAGTCGCACAGCTGTTATTGTGTGTCGGTGGTGGAGGAAGTGGATGTAGTGTCACTCAGGTGGACTGCTTTGTCCTGGATAGTGTCAAGCTTCTTGGGTGTTGTTGGAGCTGTATTCCATCACAATCCTGACTTGTGCCTTGTAGATGGTGGACAGGCTTTGGAGAGGCAGGAGGTGAGTTACTCACCTCAGTATTCCCAGCCTCTGTCCTGCTCATGTAGCCAGAGTTTATGCGGTGACTCCAGTTGTGTTTCTGGTCAATGATAACCCCCAGGATGTTGATAGTGGGAGATTCAGTGATGGTAACACTACTGAATATCAAGGGGCGGCGGTTAGACTATTGGTGGTCTCTAATTGGTGACGGTCATAGCCTGACATTAGTGTGGCATGAATGTTACTTGCCACTTGTCAGCCCAAGCCTGAGTATTGTCCAGATCTTGTTGCATTTGAACATGGACTGCTTCAGTATCTGAGGGGTCGCAAATGATGCGGAACATTATGCAATCATTGGTGAACATCCCCATTTCTGACCTTATGATGGATGGAAGGTCATTGATGGAGCAGCTGAAGATGGTTGGGCCTAGGACACTACCCTGAGGAACTCCTGCAGAGGTGTCCTGGAGCTGAGATGACTGACCTCCAACAACCACGACCATCTTCCTATGTGTCCGTATGACTCCAACCATCGGAGAGTTTGCCCCTAATACCCATTGAAGCCGCTCTCAGTCAATCGCAGCCTTGATGTCAATGGCTGTCATTCTCACCACACCTCTGAAATTCAGCTCTTTTGTGCATTTTCGACCCAAGGGTGTAATGAGGTTGGACTTGAACTCAAGTTTCCTGGCTCAGATTTAGGAACACTATCACAGCACTACAAGAGGTCTTGCTCCTCCATCCAAGTGTTTTTTTTTAAATTAACCTGTTCAGAGATGTTATGACACATTGCTGGAACAGGTGGAACTTGAACCCAGGCTTTCTGGCTTAGAGGTAAGGTACTAACACTGCATCACAGAATCTTCTTCCTACATCTGAGTAGCTGCAACATGAATATTCCTTCCATTGCCATAACAATCTTTATATTAGCTGAAAAGATAGTTGGTCCTAGTTGACAAGATAATCTCAGAATCCCAGAAGTTCTACATGATGAATAAGTGGTAGGGAGCAGGTCACACACATCAACCAGATGTGATTTACCTGGTGGATGTTAACACAAAACAATTGAAGGTCCAGTCTTCTATCATTGGGATGACTGACAGCAGGATTCAAACCCTGTATCTGTTAGTTCAGAGGTGGGAAAATTACTATTAATTCAAAGGTCAGCTCTATCAGTGGATGAATGGAAGAATTTGAGTACAATTCATTGAAGGTATCCAAGGCATAAATCACCCATTTCTAATGTTATTACCATTATAAATCTATGGAATTGCAGAAAAAGTCCTTATCCTGGGTTAAGCTGGCAGAGTTTAACAATTTTAATGTGTAAAGTCAGAAGTACATTAATAAAGTCCAGAATCTACAGAGGCATTTTTCCCATTTCCATCATGATTGACTACATCTTCTCCTGCCTTGATCCTAAGCTCAGGAATTCCCTACGTAAACCTTTATACCTCTCTAACCAGCGTTTCTCCGTTAAAACATTCCTTAACATCTACTTCTGTGACCGTTTTTGATCACCTTTCCTGATATTTCATGTGGCTCAGTGGCAAACCTTTCTGGGTAATGCTCCTGCAAAGCTCTCCTTAGAATGCCTTACCACATTAATAACACTTCTTTAACACAATATGATGTCCGTGTTGTGAATGTAAAAGCAATTGATTTTTACATTTTCCCAAAATCAGATGTAGTCCTTCAGCAAAAATAAATGTGTTCTCTCATCACTCTATACTTTTACATTAAGCAGGGAATTCCAGCATAGCGCATAAGACATTACAATGGTATTCAAATATTCTGGATGACTAAAGGCAATTGAAAGGGCACCACATGACACACTGTAGACGTTATCTTCCAATTGGCACAGTTGGGGCTTTTAACCAGCCAGCCTCAAATTAACAACAACATAGAACAAATAAAAGGAAAGCAAGTTTTAATGTATTATACAAAACCATTTCTTGAATTTTGAATTTTCCAGCAGAAACATTCTAATGGTATAGTAGCAGATTGATTAAAAAAAAGAAATACGGAAATACTGAGGTAAGTCTATGATCTTTACATAATTTTAAGAGTTTTATGTTTTGAATTAATTTATAAACACATTTCCTAGGGATATTATCCTTCCTCTTTATATATGAGAGGAGCGAAGCCTGCAGCTAAGGGAAAGAACAAATGAATCTTCCCAAGGAACTACAATGACACCAACAGCTGTGCTGGGAATCACTATTTAGTTTTGCCCCTCCTTCATCATGGAAATTCATGTGCCCTTTGCCAACAGCAACGCTATGCAAAAGAAGCACATCCATATGCTAATTGTTTATTTTAATTAGTGCCATTTAATTCTTAAAACCTTCATATGCCTTTTGAAGAATGCTACAGTTGATCTCTTCAGCCCTGTACTGTATTCTCCTGCATTAGG